TTATATATAGGACCAGTACGGTACGGTACGATTCAAATTTCCCGCGAAAAATACTGATCTGCATAATCGTACCGTACCGGTTTTCCATATACTCGGTAAATTATGACCTGAAATTTATATGCAGGCCATTTCGTGAAATTTTGTATTATACTTCACGAAACTTTAAAATCAACAATAATCGAAAATATAATTAGTTCCGAAATTATATAAGTGAGCTTTACAGTAGAACTCGAGCTATTATTTTAGAAAAAATAAATTTTACTTTATGAATTTTTAAATCAGTGAATCATCAAAAATTTAAAAAAGATTACGTGACAAGTCATTTATAACCTGAAGCATCTATTTAACCAAAATGCTACATATTTTATATTTGATATCATATTAATCGTCCCAAAGACAATCATGTTGTTAATTTTCCTAAATACTTAATTTTTGACTGAATATCAAAATCATTCATTATGTCGTGTAGTTGTTAGTAATATTTATCAAGATAAAACTTTAAAAGTTCAGAAAAAAAGTTCATAATCCTAATTTTAATGGGAATATGGATAAATGAATCGTTTTGTCAGCACTTTAATATTATCCAGTACTTGTAAGTTTGTATCGTATTAGTCACACGACTCAAAGTTGAAAAAAAAAAATTGAAAAAAAAATTTCGATCATAACGTACTGATTATCATATTATCATCAAACTTTTGCAAAGATTATTGTTACAATCAGTCTTGAAAGTTTATTTTATTAGTAAATCCGAAGATTTTATATTCGATAAGTATGAAAAATTATTTATTAAGAATCAATTTATTAAAGTACTGCTTCAACGTCGGTTCTGAATTCCCTTCGTTATACTAAACTATTACAAAAAACACTAATTTCTAATTAAAACTTAAAGAGGGGAAGAGGGAAGAAATGACTACAGTCAGAATCACATAAACCTTTTTAATAATGTCTATATATTTTCAGTAACCTGGATCCATAACCTGAAAATAATAAAAACGAAATAAAAAAAAAAAAATTAATTAAATTGATAAAATAATATTTATAACAATATCCAATAGTTAATTTGTTTGATATATTTATAAATATATTAAAATAGATTTATAAACGAAAAACCCATGACAATAGATTATTAATTTATCCAATCCATTATTATTCTGGTAACACATGAAGTTCTCGGCAAGAAATTTTCAGCGCCATCGCCATAAAATATTTTGTCAGAAATTACGCAAATGAAATATTTAATTAACACCATGCCCAAAAAATTGATGAAATAATTTCTGAAACAAATTCACGAAAAAAAAAATTTCATTTCAATTTTAAAGTTATCTGCAATTAAACTTACACGTAAGATGCATGTAATTTTATACGGATTCGACTTTCGGATTTAAAACCGAATACAAATTAGCCCAGTACAAAAATTGTATTTAATATGAAACCGCCGGATATATGATGGGGCTGAAATAAAGTTGCATGCACATATACTGTAAATAAAGGCAAATATAATAATAGAAATCAAAATTTTATTAGAAATTCACAGTTTTTTATGTGACGATTATAAAAAAAAAATAAATTATTAGTATGTAATTCTTTAATTATGAATATTGTTATTTTCTTTGGTAAAATTTATAAATTACTCGATAACACTGCTAACATTCATACATCTTATACTGTGCTTATGAAATTAAACGATGATGTTTAAATAAATCATGTCGTGTAACCTTTATTTTAATGCCAGCTTATCCAGATATAATAAATCCGGATTGAAACCGGATTCAATAAATACGGATGAAATACTGATCCGATTTCTGAAATTAATAAACACAGTTGTAAACTATAAATACGGTTCCAAATCTAAGACAAAGTCTTCATCGGTAAACGGTTTCCTAGCAGCAAATTATATTGCATTACGAATATTAGAATCTTTACTGTAGAGTCTTTATTTATTAAACCTTCCCTTGTCTCATGACAAAACAATTTTAAATAATGAAATTCCATTCGTCACATTATTGTGCACTTTCGTTATATAATTAAATACTTCATTGTCGAAGACCATGATCTTTGTGTTTAATAAAATTTTGAAACAATATTTTTTTTTTTTTTTTTTTTGCAAAAAATCCGTTTTTATTCCTCAAAACGAAAAGATAAATCTTTAATTTTTGAGAATTGTCTTTGTATTGGTTAAATAAAAACCTTTTAAGTATAATGGTATGAAAATGTAATTTAGATAATTGCAATATAAAATATCAATATTGCTAGCTAATGATAATAATAACTTTAAATATATATACAAGAAAAAAGATTAAAACTTAATATTATCAAAGGTATTCGCAATAAATTCTTGCTTCAAAAATCATGAAAAATAGATTCCAAGAAATAGGTTCAAAAATTCCTTGAAATAATATTCAATTTATTTTTTTAGTGTGGAAAACCGCATAAAAAAAATCGATTTAGATAACTCGTTTTAAATGAAATTCTACTCAATTACTGGTATGTCCCATAATAAAGTTTCGTGAGTGTAAATGAAAAATAAAATTAACAAATTATACAATAAAAGATTTTTTTTTTTAGGAATTGGACTACAGTTAAGTGATCGTCCAAAGGATAAATTTTCATTGTTGTGATGGTTGTAGTTGTGAAATCAAGTCTATTATTGTATATTTGGGGAATACAACTATGGGTGTATAAAGCGAGAGATAACTTCGTTTAAATTTTATCATTCAAAAGGTTTTGGACAATTATTTTGTTGAATTGATCGATTCAATCCGTTAACTTTGCATATTAGAATCAATTTAAATTTTAAATTCGTAATTATTAAATTGTGAATTTTTCTAATGTCGCCATCATATCTTCAGTAATTGATTTAAAGAATTAACAATTATCATAATTTTTTATCTAACTACCAAAAGTAATTTAATCATATAAAGATGACAAATCTTTCAATTCTTTGAACTAAATATACCTTCCTTTATTTAAGCTATAAATTGCAAATGCACACTTTACATCGGGCAAATGATTGGAAAATTTAACGCTTGAAATGTGATTGTGGTATTGGTCTTTATGGAAATTTTTATACAAATAATAAGATAGTTCTTATCAATGAAAAATGAAAAGTGTTCGAAATCCGGATAGAAAATTTGATTATTAATTAATAAAAAATATCAAATACCACTGGATCCAAGCTTAAAAAATTATGTTTTATTATGATGATGATGATTTTTAAGATTGTCAGTCAATAAATGAAAAAAAATGAAATTTATTAATAAATATTGAAACTTATTGTTAAATAAACCTAAAAATAATTTTTTGAGTTTTTACGTGACAGAAATAACAAAATAAATGCGTAAATAAATTATAAATAAAATAAAAATAACGAAGGTAACAAAATTGTCAAAGTAATGATGATACCCAAGAGAACAGCATAACAGACCCACGGTTTCTATTTTAAAACATAGGAGAAAAAAAGAAAAAAAAATGAATATTTAATAATGTAAATTTCAAAATGATTAATGTTAATGAATTTACTTTTCTTTCTTGTAGTCTACTACCACATTGAGGACATTTGTCAATCTCGTCCATACAAGAATTCAATACACAAGGTAACCAAAACAATGGCCAAAAAACGCAACACAATAAGGCACCACCAATCCAAGATGCTGTACCCAGGTAGTAAAATGTTACGGGAATCGTAATTCTTCCACAAACTGGACAAGGATGACCACTTGGAATTTGATTTATGTAAACGACCGGATAATTTGTAAATGTTGAAGAGACATTAATTATATTTGATGGATTATTTGCAGTTGCTAGTGGCGGTGTCAGATATGAGGGTTGAGTTGGATATGGTTGCTGCTGTTGGTTATAATAAATGGGTAGCTGATTGGATTGCGGGGGGTCAGGTAATGGGGTATATGGTGGCGGTAAAGATGAAGGCATTTTTAAAATTTCGATGATAGGTAAACTTAAATAATAAATGCTAAAATCAAAGAGTTAACCAAGTATTGAAATATTTGAAAATATCCATTTCGGGTTCTCATTTAGAGTTTTTATTTTTTCTATTGATTGTGCCGTGTAATTAGATAATCTGCATATTACCGAACCTTATTTATCAATCAAGTATAAACCTTTCAAATGTAAATGAAAAATTGCTTAGAATTCCAAGGAAGGTTTAATTGACTTGCACAAATAACAATGTGTATTAGGCGTAAAGATTCGTGTTACTTTGCTGCATAATTATTTTCACTGTATCACAAATCTAAACAATGGAACCAAACTAAGGTTTCAAAAATGACGGTTTTAAATATTTACAATGCCGACGAATTGTAAGATTTCATTTTTTTCAATAATTCAAATATGGTATAGTTTTGAATGTAAAACGATTGCAGATTTGTTTGTCGTAAATAATGATACCGAAATTGTTATTTCTAGTGAGAGTTATGCAAATTGTTAAAATTGTTAAAAAGAAATTAATGTTCGTTGTAGTAAAGAAGACGATCATGAAATTTATTCGAATTGAAAAATAGTACACAACACATTTTCTGGGAAAATTATTGGTCATGATTCGGTTTAGTTATAGTAAGTAGCCTAGCTTTGTATTTGTATTTTGTTTTTCAGCAATTATTTTTTATTTTTTTTTGATGATCTTCATGAAATTTATTATCTTGAATTAATCCTTAACTTTGTAAACTTTGAATTACCTTCATATTTAATACGTATTTTCAAGTCCTAATTTCTCACTTTTATCAGCTTCTATTGCGCGTAGTCATTTATTCTTATTAATGAATAAAATAAAAATATGAGCAAAAAAACCGATATGAAACAGAGCCAATTTTTATCAGAATATGAATAAATTCTTCAATTGCAGATTTAACCTTGTATTAAATCCAAATCAAATTTCTTGATTAATTGTAATTGATTCTTAAGAAATTTGGAAATACGAGAGAAATGCCCAATTGTTACTGCCTCACTCGGTTCTATTTAATAGGACTTAAATGAAGATATTACAATTCCTCTATCTAAAATAAAGACAAAGACGAAATCTATTCATATAAAATTCTATCTGAGACGCGGTAGGTGACACAAGAATTTAGTGTATAAATACCTCATACGAACATATTGGATAACATTATTTAATAACTAATTATTAATTTATTTATTGTAAATGCAATTTTTATTATATTTCTTAACTATCGTCACTTTCTTGAATTTGTAATCTTTCTTTTTTTCATGATAGTATGATCTTCATCAGGTATATTTAACGCAGACAATTGTGTTTTGGGAAACTCTACCTTTCGAAAGTGCTGATAGTTGTTCAAGGGAGGGTAATTGATTACCTTTGGATGAAATATTTTGTCATTTTATATTATCAAAAGAAAAAAAAATTTTTTTAGGGCGTAAAAGAAAAAAAGAAATATAAATTAAGCTATTTGTGTAAACCGATAAAACAGTTACTCGGCAGCACGTGACCTCACAACTGCGGCACTGCCGTGCCTTACAATAAGATTATGGTCAGTGGAATTTGCTGAGCGAGCTCAGCAATTCCACCAATCATATGGCACTTCGTGACGAGTAACTATTAATTATTTTTTGTGGATGCATTAGAGCCATAAACTATCATTACACCTTTTCCTGAGCGGTGTATAACGTTTCTTTTAACCGTAACATTGAAATTTAAGGGAAAGAATTTTGGACTATTTTATAATAATAATTATTTGGAAGCACCATTTAAAAAACAATTAGTCTCGAAAATTTTCATTAGTAAATATTTTATTGCAAAAAATTTATAATTATCTTTCCATCAAATAAACAATAATTTGAAATTTTCTTGAATTATAAATTTATCTTCCGGAGAAAGTTAAGAAGAAATTATTAGAATCCTGAGTAAGTTCCTTGGTCTAAGCAAAAGTGAAAATGACCCGTTAATTGAATTAATGTAACAATATTCGCAAAAGAAAGATTTAAATTCCAAATTACCTTATTAAGCTACGAACAGTTAAGCGGCGACGCATAAAAGAAATAACTAATGGAGTTACTGTGAAGAAAACAATGAGACCGCCTTGAGAGCCCGATGCGATAGATCCCGCGACGACTCCAGCTGCGCCTAAACCCATAGCCGTAAGAAACACAGGAGCTCCTATAGTTGCGGCAGCGCTCCCAACAGATGTGACAACAATGCAAGATAAAAGACACATTTTCTTTTTTTTTTACTTTTAATGAATTTTTTTTTTTTGAATTTTTTTTGACGATAAAAAGAAACGACTTCAGCACATGTCGATCATTCTGCCCAAACTTGAAAAATGAATTACTTAAAGTTTATGCATGTAGACCATTTAAGACCTTAAATGTTCGTAGTATCGAGATCTTACTGATTATCTCACACACATAGTAAATCATTTTTTTCTTATCGGTATGTCGTATCTGTTAATTCATTTTCAAATAATTAAGCACGTACCAATTCCAATACATTATCTAACAAATTAAAATATTTTGTTGTCCGATCACGAGTTCAAGAATTTAATTCAAAGATATCTTTCTGCGCCGCGTTTAATAAATTCAAATCATATAATTATCAAAATTAATTCCTAAATACCATTATATTATATTCTCAACGCATACTTTTGATAATTATTTTAAGATTATATCATATAAATTATTTGATTTGATATTATTATAAAACTTTGATTTACATCTCACAACGTTAGACTCTTAAAAAATTTGGCCAAAATCAAAGACGCTAGCTCTGTTAATTAACCGATCTCTGTAACACAATATGTTGATTTATTATGTAACTCTACTTATTGATCCACTTTTATGGAATAGATTATTGTGTATTTACTGTGCCATACCACCTCAAAAAAAATGATCTTAGGCACGCACGTTGTTTTCCTTTAAATTCATTCATTTTCCGGCTTACTTGTCGTAGTAATTCTGTTTATCTCAATAACAGTTACAGCGTCCCTAAGTTATACATCATGAACAGTTAAAATTTCTAGACTAATGGTGATATACAAAAAGAATCATTGGATTACTTTCCTTGTTGACCTTTTATAGAAATTTAGCTTTCCCTATTGAACTCCCTCTTCTGCCTGAATTTAACATTCATCCAAATTTATGGGAACAGGATTTAAATCATTTTATGATTGGGATTTTGCAGTCAAAAAGATTGGAGCATAATATTCTTTTTCCGAAATCCGCTTTTAGGAAGGAACTCATAAAAGAGTTTAGCACGCATATTATTATCCATTTTCCTGCAATGTTTTAACAGATAATGTCAAAAATGAATTATAAACCGGATCATAATTTTTATCAGAATTTTATCATCGCAATATGTCGCTTATCAAAAAAAAACTATAACTTACTTGGAATAAATTTACGCCATTCTCCTTGTGTGAAATACATGTGAAAAAAATTATGTAATTTTGACGATTCTCTATATAGCAATGTTACACAAGTCTTCGATCAATCCTTAACAAAACCAATTGTTTTTATACAACAATCCATTCATTGGCGTCAAACCCTTCATTTCCCCCCTTTTTTTTTACCGGAAAATAAAATTTTCTGATGGTATATTAGTTGATGATCAAGGGTGCCAAACTTGTTATGGACCTTAGTCCATGTAGTGATTTATTTGATTTTCAGTCTAACTCAAATTATTTTCTCATAAATATCAAATTATTCACTCTCAAAATTTTTTTTTATTTTTGAAATCAAAAATTATTTCAATATTTGTATCACTATTTGACCAGTTCTCCTATTACAAAACAGAAATGGAAGACGTTAATTCAGGTTACAATACCAACACTTCACAGCAAGGAATATTCATAATTAATTGTGATTGTGGTCTTGAACCAGTTCTTCGGGAGGTTAAGTCAAACACAATAAATAAAGGAAGATTTTTTTGGTCATGCAGCAAATTTGGTACTCCGAATCATTCGAGAAAATGTAATTTCTTTAAATGGAAATCTCAAAATGATGAAGACGATAACGATCCCTTCTACCAAAACGCCATACAAAGTAGAACAACATCAGTTGCAACCCCTCCAATACCCTTACATTGGAGATATAAGAATTCTAGTATTAGAGCTACTTTTCCACAAGCTCCAGGTTCACCTCCAACAAGATCGCAATCTCCATTTTCTGTAAACTCAATAGATGATGAACTTACTCCCAGAAACTTAACTGGTGATGTATACACACGTAAACCGGCTGTCTTCGATAATTGGGATGATGTACCTAAATTTTCCACTCCACAATTATTAGATATTGCGCAAAATCACCTTATGCAACAAGGTAAAATTTATGAACTTCATTCCGTATGATTACAAATATGATCTTTAATTTTCATTTGGTTTCATTTTTTTACTTTTAAAGACAGAAATTATCAAAGATGGTACACTGCCAACCAATTGGTTAAACGAGATCTTGAAGATGCAAGGAAAGAAATTGAGAAATCAAAAAGAGATTTTGAAATGTTAGTTAAAGAAAACGAACTATATAAACGTGAAATTAAAATTTTAAAAGCTGAAAAGCGACGGTTAGAAGATGAAAATGTTGGTATAAAAGAAGAAAATCAGGATTAAAAAGAAGATAATTTTTTGATAAATACGATTTTAAATTTAAAAATATTTGAATTCAATTTTATTTTTCATTAACTTAGAATGGTGAACGTTTTGTTCCTAGACAGCACAACGAATTTAAAATATACAACTCCTTATATAGTCACTCCCTAAACACATTTGTGTAAGGCTGAAGTATAATAATAAAGTTATTTACCATTACTCTCTGTATAGCTTTTTTAAAATCACGCCGAATTCTCAGGATGTGATGTAATGGCGACCAAATGTATATCTGAAAAGTTCTTTCGTAAACACAAATCTTAACAAATCATTAATATGATCCTATAGAATAAATGCTATAATCTTCATTAGATTTATTAGGATTCACGATAAACAACAAATTCAAATTTTTTGTTAATTAAATATATATTAATGCCTTCGTTGTCGTTAATTTAACGTTAATGCTTATATCTTTACTGTTTAAGGTTGCTAGTCTAAACCCATTTTAGATTTGGCAAAACATCTAAACCTTAAGTTTCACTAATTTTATACTAAGGATTTCGCTATTTTTAAAAGTTGTTGATATAGTTTTGCCTTCCCTAATTTCGCAGATTTTTAATAATTTTGTCAAATTTACTTTACCATTTAGACAACTTGCAAAACTATGTTTTCGTCCAGCAACCTTAGGGGTGTTTTCTAAAATTTATTACAAAATAACATTTTAAAATAAACGATATATAAAGGATTAATGTTTCTTTATTTTCAAATTAAATTTAGACAACAAATAAAATAGTTATTGATTTCTTTAAAAAAAAAAAGAATAAATTTTAACTTGGAGTTGTACTCATTTGAAAAAATCATCTTTTTTTCAATAAACTCCTATGCATTAAAACCTGTTCGAAAAATAATGTATTATTTTGGAAACTGTGTGCTAATTTAAATAAATTACAAAAAAAAAAAAATTTATATTATACGATTGTAATATAATAAACCGTCGAATTCTATTAAAATTCACAAAGTTGTTATGTTATCAAAACCGTCGAAACATTTGAAACCAATCAAAACCCATCAAAATTGTCGAAATAATTTCTGAAAAGTTTTGAATTTGCAAAATAGATTTAGGTTTTACGTCGCAACTATACTCAAGAATTTAAACTTAACCAAGCCTGTACAAAGAAAGACATTATTGATAATCATATTCAAAACCTATATTTATATATTTACAATACTATTTTTAGCAACTTTTTGATATCAATAAAATGCTCTTTTGTTATAAATTTGAATAATTTAATAAGTTTGCAAGATTATTTATGTGTGTGAATCAGTATATTTTCAGCAGATCTTTGATTATTTCTAAATCCTTTTCTATTCTCCACTATTTTATATAATAATGCAAGATTAAATTGTATATCTGTATCATTATTAGCAGCTTTTTGATACCAATAATAGGCCTTTTAAAAATCCTTTTCTATTCCTTTACCATTATAATATAATATTGCAAGATTAATTTGTGCATTTGCATGATTATTTTCAGCAGCTTTTTGATACCAATAAAAGGCCTTTTTATAATCCTTTTCTATTTTATAATATAAGTTTGCAAGATTAATTTGTGCATTTGTATGATTATTTTCAGCAGCTTTTTGATACCAATAAAAGGCCTCTTTAATATCCCTTTCTGTTCCTTCACCATTTTCATATAATATTGCAAGATTATTCATTGCAAATACATTATTATTTTCAGCAGCTCTTTGATACCAAAAAATGGCTTTTTCTAAATTCTTTTCTATTTTCTTACCAGTTTTATATAATAATGCAAGATTATATTGTGCTTTTGGGTGATTATTTTCAGCAGCTTTTTGATACCAATAATTGGCTTTTTCATAATCTTTTTTAATTTCTTTACCTCTATAATACAAGTTTGCAAGATTAATTTGTGCATTTGCATGATTACTTTTAGCAGCTTCATGATACCAATAAATGGCTTTTTCTAAATTATTTTCTATTTCTTTACTATTATTATATAAAAATCCTAGATTATATTGTGCTTTTACATTATTATTTTCAGCTGCTTTTTGAAACCAATAAATGGCTTTTATTAAATTTTTTTCTGTTCCTTTACCATTCATATATAATAATGCAAAATCAAATTAAGCTTCTACATTATTATTTTCAGCTACTTTTTGATACCAATAAAAAGCTTTTTCTAAATTTTTTTCTATTATTTTACCATTTGAATATAGTAATGCAAGATTATATTGTGCTTTTATATTATTACTTTCAGCTGCTTTTGAAACCAATAAATAGATTTTTTATTATTCTTATATAGTAATGCAAGATTATATTGAGCATTTGCATCATTATTTTCAGCTGCTTTTTGATACCAATATCTGGCATTTTCTAAATTTTTTTCAGTTTCTTTACCATTTTCATATAATAATGCAAGATTATATTGTGCTGATACATTATTACTTTTAGCTGCTTTTTGAAACCAATAAATGGTTTTTTCTAAATTTTCTTTTATTTCTTCACTATTTTTATATAATAATGCAAGCTTATATTGAGCATTTGCATTATTATTTTCAGCTGCTTTTTACCAATAAAAGGCACTTTCTAAATTTTTTTCTGTTCCTTTACCATTTTCATATGATAATGCAAGATTATATTGTGCAATAATATTTTCATTTTCAACTGCTTTTTGATACCAATAAAAGGCCTTTTCTAAATTTTTTTCTATTCCTTTACCATTTTCATATAGTAATGCAAGATTATTTTATGCAATTTTATCATTATTTATTGCTGCTTTTTGTAAGTAATATAATTCATTATAATTATTTATACCAATTAACCTTATTCCTTCAAAATATATTCTATAAAATTTATTTGTTGGAATATTTACTTTAGTGTTTAAATTATTATACTTTTTTAAAATATCTTTGGCAATAATATTTCCATTTTTTGATGCTTTATTATACCAGTATAAGGCTTGATTTTGATTTTTATGTATTTCTGTTCCAATTCCATTTAAAAAACTATTTCCAAGTTGATATTGTGCGTCAGCAATTTCTTGTTTAGCTAATATTTCATAATATTTAAATGCCTTAATTTCATCCTTTTCAACTCCTTTGCCTAATCTAAAACAATCTGCTAAATGAAGTTTTGCTATTTTATTTTCATTACTAGTTGCTTTATAATACCAATATGCTGCCTTTTTTTCATTTTTCTGCGTTCCTATGCCATATTCATGGCAATGTCCTAAATAAAATTGGCCTACTTTACTTTCATTTTCTACGGACTTCTGATACCAATTAAATGATAGACTTTTATCACAATCGACGCCATATCCATTATAATAACATTTAGCAAGGTAAACTTGTGAAATTGAATAATTTACTTCTGCCGCTTTAAGAAATAATTCATATGCTTCAATACTATCTTCAACTACACCAATATTGTAATAATAAAGTAATCCAAGCAACCATATGTATTTTGTATTATGCTGCTTACTTAGCCAATATAAAAGATATTCGATTTGGCTTAACCGGGATATATTTTGCTCAATTAAATGGTTTACTTGTTCAAAAGTAATTCCTTCATTGTGTTTTTCTATTACTAGATCAATTAATTTATCAGCAAATATTTGATTTATATATATTGAACTTCTTGATTGATTATTAACTTGAAAAAGTGGAGTTAATGAGAAATTTTTAAAATCCGTTATATTTGATCCTATAGATGTATTACTTTGCAAATTTGAATTGCTAACATTATAAAAATTAAAATTTTCAGTTATTTCTAAATCCGCTAAATCCTCCTCTCTTTCTTTGCTTGATTTATGGTTAGAATTATTTATTGGTGAATTATTTTTGAAATCCGCTATATTAGATTGAAATGAGTGTCTACTTTGCAAACTTGAATTGCTTTCGTCAATATTCTTATAATGATTAACTTCCTCAGGTAATGCCAAATCCTTTAAATCCTCGTCTATTTCTTTACTTGATTTAAGGCTTTTATTTTTCATAGGTATTTCAAATTCATCAATAAGGATTGCATTAATAATTTCACCGTGTTCAAGAGAAATAATTGTTTTAAGAGTTAAAACAACCTTTTTCATTTCTGGACGTTCATCAGTTTCGTAGTTCCAACATTCTAATTTAATGAATCGAGATTAGCATTCGTTTTTTAAAATAAATTTATTATTTTATAATTTACCTCGATATAGATTACTATACTCAGGCAGAGTTCCATCAATTATATTTTCTCTTTTGCCATTTAATATAGACAGAGACAAATATTCATCGTAATTGACATCTTTAAACGGTCGATATCCGCTTGAAATTTGCCACATCAAGTATCCTACACTATAAACATCGGATTTTTTATTTAATTTGTAATCCTTATTTTTATCTAAACCTTTTGGATCCATATAAGGTAATATACCAAGAACTTTCGATGGAATTCTTGATTCGTCAGCAATTTTTTTTGATAATCCAAAATCTGATAATTTAATAACGTTCTGATGCACAAGTATATTATATGCATGCTATAATTTGTTAACAAAAAATATTTAATTATTTAATGTCGATAAAATAAATCAATAATGATTTGATTTTCAAATAAATGGTTGATAGTCACCAGATCGCAATGAACAATATCACAATCGTGTATGAATTCTACGGCACTTGCTAATTGTAATGCTAGTTTATATTTGTCGTTCCAATCAAGTTCATTAAAATGATTTTTTAAGTAAGCATTTAATGTTCCGCCATCAGC